ATTTAGAAAAAAACTGTTTGGGATAATGCAACCTGCATCAATATTTTACTGTAAAAACTTGAACCTATCTCATCTCCACCACAACATAAATGTTGGTCTTTCAGATATAGCTCGATTAGGCCTAACATATCACACTTTCTCCAAACATCAGTCGGCAGCGGAAGCCTCTTTAAAGGAAATTTCCTGGCATCAATGTTTATTAATCTCTCAATCTTCTGAACAATCAGTAGAAAAACTGGATAGACAAATGAATGACTGCTCCATATATGACTGTTCTCAACTGTGTGTTACCTGTGTCGTGGGGGGTTTTAGGTTAGCTAGGATTACAGTGTCAGTCCTTGACAGTGACTCTGTCTTCCCTTGAGAGATTACAGCTTATCTCTAGACAGCCCTCTGTATCAACAGTACTGGGGGGAAAAACAACAACAGTATAAGATGCACTGGTCATATGGAGTCAAGTTGACTTTAACACTGAGGCTCTGAGGTGGGAGCAGAACTGTGTGAATTGCATTGTGCGCTGGTGTGCAAACTTGACCTGTGCAATTCTAGGTATTTTGTCAGCAGTTCTTATAAGTTAAAGGTGAGCGTTTGAGGATGGAATATAAACTTGTACTGCAAGCAAAGCAAAACAGTGATATGTGGTGATGCTCAGTAGATGCATACTGGTTCTTTAATTTCTGCTTTTTTTATATGTAAATAAGAAGTCTGAAGTAGGCTGAGGTTAGTCAAGTGTTTAGTTGTGAAACCATTGTGCTATTTTAGAAGCGTACACAAGGTAACAAAGTTAAACTAAATCTGAATCAACTTTTTAAAATGATTCCCTTATTAAATTGTTCACCTTTTTCATATTTTGGCTTTATACTATGATAATATCATTTTTGTTACTCGGGAATAATATATTTTTTGTGATTTATGTTCTTGCTGTTCTTTAGATTTATGCGCGCTTTTTTGGAGGTGCTATATAGTTCATTTGATCTTTAGAACATTCAACACCAGAGTTGAAAAGAAAAAAGTGAATTAATTGCTTTAAAAACAGAAAACCTCACTTGGATTTATTAAGCAAAAGCAGTGAAGTAGCTGACTATACTACTCATGAACCGGATGCTGGTCAGAGCTGGTTTGGTTTCCAATGTGCCAGAGAGCAAACGCATGGCTATTTTACTGGAGAACTGTAAAGTTTTTGGGTTCATAAAGTTTTAAGGATTTTCAGAGCAGGGCTTTGTAGGAGAGGCAGTTGACATTTTGACCTTGCTTTTTAGTTAAGACCAAATTGAATTCTTAAAAGTTTGAGAAATGATACCATTACCTCATTGGGCAACTTTGGTAACTTCCTGCTTGATATGAAGGAAATGTACAGTGTTGGGGTGTGCCTGTCTAAATATTGCTTCCCCCATGTATGTGGTCATGGTAACTGTGTAAGCAGTGTTAACTCTGCACAGTCATCTTAAAAGCACCACACCCCCACTGCAGCTCATCTTCACAACCTCTGTTCTTTCCTTTTTTTAAGATTATCTAAAGGCGCTCTCCTACTTATTAATAACACTGGTAGAGGATTGATTGGATTTTAATGAAACTCTTATAACTGTATGGTCTACATAATGATGGCATTAATTATCAGGAAACATACTCTTTGTCTTTACCACTATAGTTATTTTTAGTTTGTATTAATGTTTCTCACTGTGCTCATGGATGTTGGTCACATGTTTGAACAGGTCACTTGAGCTTCATTTAAAAGCTCGAACTAGAGTCATGAAGATGTTCATTTTGAGTTCAGGTAGTTCAAATTCTGGAAATCTGAAGTGTGGGGTTGATGGGACCGGAATGTAACTAGTAGTTAGGATGGTTTTTATTAGGTTTTTATCGTTGGCCTTCCAAAATGTTTGACTACAACAGTAAACATCTGCACTGGATGGTCTTTTCTGGGCTTATAGTCTCGGGTATCTTTCACAAACATCTGAAATCCCACCCAATATGCTTTAAAAATATTTTTTACCATTCCGCTACAATAAATTGGGATATGGTATTTCTTTCACATTTCACGTTTTTTTCCCTTCTCTAATTCTCAAAATGCTTAGCTGGCATTGTTTCTCCAATTTACATAATGTACAGTATGTGGCTGTCAGATTTATCTCTTCTGAACTGACCTGGTACCAGTGGCCAACATAGCGGCAGGGCTTTTTCCTGCCCTTCTTGTTTATGCTAGTGTCTTACAGAAACGGGTTCCCTAAAGGACAATTTCTGAGTTGTATGCAAAATTGTTCATACCTCATTACAGTGTACGTCCCATGCAATGGGGGTGGTATGTTGTTGCCGGTCACTAAGTTTGCTGTATGAAGTGGAGGTAGTAATTCTATAATATCCCTTTCCTATGATCATCCAGTTTTTGATTACATGTTAATAAAATGTAGTGATTGATTCCAAATAGGTTTGAAAAATATAAATTTTCAAAGATTTATGATAATACCACTGAAAAAAATAAATTACAAAAGACTTTCTTCTTTGCTGCACGCTGTTTGATGGACGTTTAATTTAGTTTTTTCTAAGAAAAGCAGCCAAAACTCCTACAATTTTCCCCTATGAATGTCCTTTTTTCAGACAGGGTGATGTTTGGAAATAAGTTCGTTAAGTAGACAGAAGACTAGATATTTTCAGACCTCGTAGATGTAACATAGACACACCCCTGTTCTTAAGACTGTGTTGATCAGTACTGTCAAAGCCACTGATGAATGAGAATGTAGACGGTCTGAAGGGTTAATTCTTTCAGTCTATCTTCAAAACAAATACTCATATTCTTAGCCTTTTTAAGAAAAAGAAAAAAAAAGTGACGAAACAGCAGTGGTCTCGAGCAGAAGTAATTGGATGTGTTCCTCAGAAGACCTCTCTGAGACAGGGTTGAATAAAGCCATTTACAAGATTTTTGTTAATAAAAGTTGTTGTAAATTGATAATGACTCAAAGATAGTTCAAATATCTTTCTAGTATAATGTAGTAATGGAGATGTGTACAAGCTATTTGTATTTTAAATCAAACTACAGTCATTTAAATAACACATCTGAATGTGTCTATTGGATCCTAATAGAGCAATTTGACTTTTTGATGACATCCCAAACTCGAAAACTGGTTTGGAAATTTATCTGAGTGCATGTCTTAACTGTATTTGTGGTTTGTAGAGTGGGACTTGACAGTGTTTCTCTTACCCACATCTTTATAACTTTCTTCCTCACTAGTTTTCAGCTTCCCATACAATTACCCAGAACCCACTCTGTTACTGTCAGCTGTGTGTTTCCGGTCTGTGGGGAGAGAAGCACCACCGCATTTGTTTACATTTGTGCCTGTGCTTTTTTGTCATCAGCTGTGGGTCTGTTATTTAATAGCAGCTGGGAAACTGGAAACGTCCTCTGGACTCATCTTTCACAATGTGAAGCCCTTTTTTATCACCATGTTAGTCTTCACCTTCTTGGCTGCCTTTTCACACTATTGTCTCTGGCAGTTGTGGTAACTCAAGAGACTTACAGCCCACCTAACTGTAGAGTTCAATATTGTTGTGCTTTATGGGCATTGCAGGCTATATAGTTTGATAGAAGTCTTTTAGAGAAAACATGTACAGCAGTGTGAGACTGGAGGAGTGTCTTCTCAGCATTGCCTGTTTTAATTGTCTCTCCATTGTATTCATTTAATGCAGTTTGCTGGAGTGGCTCCCAGCAGCGTTCTGCACACACACATTCATGTAATAAGAACATAAATACAAGTCAATATTTTGTTTTGGTTTTTGCTGGACCTAACCAGAGGTGTACCAGAGGTGTCTAAAGTTGGTCTTCAAGGGCCGCTGTTCTACAGGTTTTTAGAGGTTTCCCTGTCTCTAAACCTAACCCTAATTGCTACTTTAATTCTACCTCTTGCCTCAGCCTAAACTTAATCTTACTCAGTTCTTCAAAAATCTCTCAACCTTAATGTTTTAATGTCATAAAAAAGAAGAAGTTGGTTCTGCATAGGGACATGAACTCATAACACAATAAACAGACTTGGCAGTGAGACATTGCTTAGCAAAGGGAGGCTCTGAACATCTTAATCGCATTGTGACACAGTTGTAAATTAAATGTTGCGGCTTTATCACCACATTCACTTTCGATACAAACTTTATAGGGTGTCTTAAGAACTTGTAGAGCGTTGTAGCATTTGGTAAAATAGCTGGATTTCCAAAATTGATTTACATTAACATTGTATCATGATATCACCTTTTTTTTAGTGTGTTGATAGTACATTTTTGTAGAATTATCCATTGTATCACTCAGTGTTTCAACAGATCAGAGATGAGAGAAAACAGGCAGCCTGTTTAGCTGTTGCTGTTGTGTGGACAGTGATTCTTACACAGGGCATTGTTTATATTTCCTTCATTTAATTTAATTTAAGATACTCTGAGCTGGAACCAGCAGCTGTTTAATGATATTTTATTAGACTGAGTTCTATTGAATGTTTGAGGTTTGTGGTACTTGTTGCAGCCTACTACTTGGAAATGTAAGAACCTTGATATTTAGAACAAAATGTTGGTAAATATTTAGTATATTATATGATATTATGTAATATTAAATATTTACATTTTCCCCAAAAGATTTTCAGTTAATGTCCTGTGTTTTTTGTATGCATTTTCTACATAGATCTTCCTGTTGAGCTTCGTACTGATTTATTATTGGGTTTAGCCTGCCATCTAGTGGCCTAGATGTGACTGAATTTTCTTTTTTTTAAATCCCTTTTGGGATGCAGTTGTGCTTCATGAATGACCTCTCATTAGAATATCTTTACTCTTATGAAGACATAATTCTGACATTTTACAATTACATGGGAATTTATTGGATGTTTCACACTCTGTCCAACTGTCAATAATTCATGTATTGGATAATTTCCTTAATATATATGTTATGTCTGCCATTTCTTTTTAATGTATTTCTTATTTTTCTTTTCTCTCCCCCTTCCCCCACACTCACTTTCCATCATGCTGTACAGAAGCTCAAACGGCTGTTTCCTGATGAGGTAAGTTTGCTGTGTCACCTTCAACTGTGTGCTTTACTCAAAAATCGGTCATTGCGGTTTTCTGATAAAACTAACTCACCATTGTGCATTTAACATTATGCCACTGTCTGTCAGAAGCCCTTTTTTAGGAAAAGGGTGGATATGTTAAAGGAGATAATTCAATATCCACAAACTGTGAGAAGTGAGCGATTGCATGTTTAACACTAGATGGGACTCCACTGTAAAGTATAGTCCCAACATGTTGCTGCTCTGTATAGCCTCTTTCCTCTAACTCATTTCTTGTTGTTGCCTTATCCAGTTGGAGCGTTTCACCAGCATGAGAATGAAAAAGGACAAGGAAAAGCCTGGCCAGATGACAGGCCAGCAACATTCCTCTGCTGCCAGCTACGAGATCAGTGCTCAGAGTGCCATGCTGAACGATCACTCTGATGATTATGTGCTGGAACTCTTTGAGCAGATGCTGGTAAGACAGACCATAGATGTGTGAGTGAAGGTGACATTTTTGAATAACCACACAAGTCTTTATTAGTAATTCAGAAAACTTGCTTATAAAAGACTCTTCATGTGAGACCCTAATACTGTCAAGTCCGTTGTGTAGTCATTTCATATTACACATGACGGCAGTGCACCGTCCAGGGTCATTGTTCTGGAACTTAGTAACACACTGCTGCTGAGTGAATCAAATATGAACGTTGTTTAAATCTGATTTCTATGTTTTAATGGTTGTAATATACAGAATTATTTTTTGCAGCGTCCCATCATTGTTACCTTGTTTGTTTGTCTCCAGGTGGATATGAACCTGAATGAGGAAAAGCAGCAGCCCCTGAGGCAAAAGGACATGTTGATAAAACGAGAGATGGTGTCACAATACCTCCACACCTCTAAAGCTGTCAGTACTGTGACAAATTTTCACCAATTTAAACACCTTGAAACTAATTGCCTTCATGTAAACAGTCTTTATATGAATGTAGTTGTATCATTTTAGTTTGATACACATCTTTGGTACCGGAGTTGTAAGTATAAGGTTGAAATATTCAATCGAAAGAAGTATTTCCCTTTCAGGTAGATCTAGTTGTTTCTCTGATGTGTAAATAATATTTTAAAGCAGCAGGAGGGATTTAGTCACCCTCAGAAGTAGGTAGCTCAAACGAATAAAAGACAGATGCTTTCTAACCCAGCTCATTTAACTGTAAAATAAGCCTACTGTGTGAGAAATCCTTTGCTGTTGGTTTCTGTACAGCAAAATCTGAAATCAGGATTTACTTTTTTCCTGCTGTTTGTCTGCTCATCAGGGCCAAAGCCAGAAGGAAAGCTCCAAGTCGGCCATGGTATACATCCAGGAGTTGAAGGCAGATTACAGGGACACACAGCTGCTGGCCTGTCTGGAATCCCTACGAGTCTCGCTCAGTAACAACCCTGTCAGGTAGAACACGCATGTTCGGCGTCTGGCAGTGTTTTATTCTACTTGGAGTTTCTATTAAAGAATGGATACTACATGTTTCATTAAAGTGCCAGGTTTCGCCTTTCCTTTATGTATGACAACATTCTGTAGAGGATATATTCATAACAAGCGGTGCCTCATGTGCAGGGGCTCAGAATTGGTAGCCAAGATGTACATAGGTTGGGTTAGGTAGTGAATTTTCTGAAGTCGATGACAGCCGGATGTCTTGGGCCTGCAGACTCTTTGGATCTTCAATGGTGATGCTTTATCAGGCATTTGCTGCAGCTGCTCACCATTTGTTGTCTGCCTCTATTGTGGCCCTCTGTCCACTGGATGTCAGCTCAGTCAGCGGGAGATCAAGTGATTGTGTCCTTAAGTCAAGGATCCCTGGAGAATCTCTCTGGGGTCTTTGGTGGTATTTTTGTAGTTGTTCCTCTGGATAAATGAAATATCCAGTGTGCTTAAATGTGGTCAGCTGGATCTGAACACGAAAAAAACCTGAAACAAAACAATGCATTTAGTACATTTAAAAATAATTTCTCATAGCTTCCACTTAGACTGATAAGTGTCCCTGTGAAACAGCTGATTGTGTAACTGCTGGAAATCTGAAATTAGCAAACTATCCACATGAAATTAAATGAGAGGAAATGTGTTAATTTAGAAAATAAAAGTATGAAAAACATATTGTATTAATCAAGTTTTCATTCTCAGCTGGGTGCAGAACTTTGGTGACGAGGGACTCGCTCTACTTTTGAATTTGCTACGAAGACTACAAGAGGAGAAAGACGAGTTTCCGTAAGTGATAGAAATAAAAAATAGTGTGGTTGATACCAGTTGTGGTGTGGAATTCCTTTATATGTTTTTTTTTTGTCTCCAATCCACAAACTAGACAAATCGGTGTTAAATGCCAACATGAGATAATTCGCTGCCTGAAAGCCTTCATGAACAACAAGGTAAGTAGCTTTGTGTAAATCAGAATACCTTTTCGATGCCATCTGATGAGTGATCAGCAACCATTGTCTAGAGATTTTAAGCAATTCACCTGCTCTCCCACTAGATGTCACTATTATTTCAGTGTGTCCCGCTTTGATCAGTTCAGTACAGCAAAAACTGATCACCTTTGAACATTTTCTGTGTTTGGGATAAGATGTTGCTGTAAACAATTAGTTTGCAACCTTCATTTCAAAATAAACAAAAAACTGTCTTGTTCTGCTTATTCTTCCCTGCTAGTGTGGTTTAAAATCCATGTTGGAGTCAGAAGAGGGGATTATTCTGCTGGTCAGAGCCATGAACCCAAAGCTTCCTCAAATGATGGTGGACGCTGTCAAACTGCTCTCTGCCATCTCCATTTTGGAACACACTGAAAACCTGTAAGAACCAGAGATATCCCGGCATACCTTTGGGCTGAATCCAGTAATGCTTGCTGTTTACAGCCAGCTCTTAACAATGGTTGACCCTTTTGTATTTACAATTAACAGTGATAATAACTACACTGTGTTGTCATATTTCTGCCCTGCTCTGCTGTGGGCAGGGGTCCAGTAATAACAAACAACTGTTAAACGCCTTTGCACTTTCATACGGGAAATTTTCATCAGACTATATGATGTCCTTCAATTTTATACAATGTGGGTCAATTTCTTCTCCCTGCAGTCATGAGCGTGTTTTGGAAGCTATTACAGAGGAGGCTGAAAAAAGGGACATTGAAAGGTTTCAGCCTCTCATTGCCGGAATGGACAATCAAAACGTTGGTCTTAAGGTCAGTATTTTTTGTGTGACAGATGGTCAGATTCCTGCTGCAGAGGAACAGCGCTACAGCGTCTGAAAGATCGACATACTATTCAAATATTGGCACTCGTTTAATGTTTTGGTCTGAATAGCTGAGGTTGTGATGTGTATTGTTGCAGGCTGGCTGCATGCAGCTGATTAATGCCTTGATAAGCCGGTCAGAAGAACTGGACTTCAGAATTCATATTCGCTCTGAACTGCTCAGATTGGGCCTCAGAGAACAACTGAAGGTAAAGAACAAGAGCTTTTCTTCCATACATTTACCTTTTGTGTCTTCCTGATGGACACACCTGCACTGCACAAACTTTGTCTCAGCTGCCCACAGACAAAGTATTTTTTTTGTCCTTGTGATACCCCTGTCATTCTGCCCTGGATCTTTTCATTTTTCTGTAGGAGGTGAAGGAAATAGAAAATGAAGAGCTGAAGGTGCAACTGACAGTGTTTGAAGATCAGGCTGAAGATGATTCGGACGAACTCAAAATGCGTCTTGACGACATCCGCATCGAAATGGAATATCCTTCCAGTCATCAAAGTGGTTGCTCTGTGGAACAGAACAGTCCTATTTCCTCCTGTCTAGATTGAGGACGGGGAGATGAGTAGCACATTGCAGTCTGATTTATATGGCTGTAATCTGCTTTGTCATACCGGTGTTCGATATTTATAATGATAGCCAACTCTACCAAATTGGTTTGTTCAGAAAATAAATCATAGATTTAAACTAAATGACTCTTATGGCATTTGGTGACGTAATTTCCATCTTTTCCATTCATACTTACATCCTAATTTTTAAAAGTCAGTTGAGCATTGAAGAAACTGAGTTTGTTATACCAATGGTAAAGTATCGTTCTTTGTTTAAACAATATTTGTGTTCGAAGAGGTGCACAGCATCACTAGGAGAAACGTTTACTCTTTGTGTCCTAATGTAAACACAATGTTCATATTAGTACAATAATGATCAGCAGGTTTACAAGAAAGCAATGAAGACATCTTCCTCTTTCATAGCAACTTAACAAAATGCCAAAACAGAACGAATACATCTAGGTAAATGTTTCTTCCCCTTTTTGCTGCTTCTGATGTGGAGTTTTAAATTTCAGCAGCAGGTGTCTCTCAGCTAAGCCCCTGAACATAGACAGCCTCGCTTTGATTTAACTTTACACAGTTGTTATTGGAGATACTTTGAATACAACTTCATTGTTACAGCGTGCCATGAACATTTAGAAATGTGATGATCTTTATCTGATGTGATTTCTATTTTTAAAAACGTAATCCTGTTTCAGCACGTGTCAGCTGGTTTCTTGACACCTTAACTGCATTTGCTTCAGTGATGTGAGAGAAGTGTTTGACATCTTGGTCAACACGGTTAAAGACTCCAAGGCCGAAACGCACTTCCTGTCCCTGATGCAGCACCTGCTCCTGATCCGCAGTGATTATTTGGCCAGGTAACACTCACTGATGCATCATCCAACACGGTCACATATTGAAGCTGACAACACATGCTGTTTACTCAACAACTCTTTATTTCTTGTTTAGTGGCAGCATGTACATTGAACTTAACTTAATATTGATGATAACCAGCGTGATTTGTTACTCTATATTTTTTAAATAATAGACTTCTTTAAACTGTTTCTCTCTCCTCATGATTTATCTTGTACCGTTTGATACATTTTTTATATCTGTTTAATGATTTGGTGATTCCTCTAAAATCCAAACCACATACCAAATTTGAATGTTTCATCCTTATTTATCAATAGTTTAATGGAATGGAGAGTGTGGCCAGTCACTGTGCTTTGTGAATCACAGTTTATAGATTAAAAAACTAAAAGCAGAACCTTTGTTTGATCATATGGACACATATAGGTAGATGTTCCTGTGTGCAAAAGAAGTGATTCAAATTTGTAAAATAGGAGGCAAGAACATTAGACAAATAAGTTTCTTCTCTTTGTTTTTGTTTCTGCATTTCAGTCTCCTTTTAGCCTCCTTTTGCAATTTGTTTTCAAGAGCACCATTGCAAAGCCTTTAAATTAATAACTACAAAGAACTTTACTTTTCTTTTAATAGAATTGAGGACTGCACAGCCTTATCGGGAGTAATATGTTAATGTCCTCCAAAAACCTTGGAGTATTTTCTAAAGAAACACAGGAAAAATAAGGAATAATTGAATGACAACACGAGCAAAGAACGGTGTCAGCTAATGAGTTGCACTTTGTACAGAGTGCTTATCTTCACATATGTGCACATATTTGAAAGCAGAACAACAGGCCTACATGCACCTCTATGAGTAAAGATCTTCATGTTCTCTTTGCAGTGTTTCTTTGACCTCCATTGCAGGCAGGAGATTGGGGCTTATTTTAGCATGGTTTAAGAAATTTATTGTGAATATAGAAATGGTCGACTTGCTGAAGCAGCTGGACTGCGCAGAAATCTTATGAGCACCCCTGCATCTCTTCCATTTCTCCTTCCCTTCTATTGTGCTTTTTCTGTGGAGGTGATCCTGGAAAACACAGTGGGGGTGATCTTAATGGACTCCTCAGTGTGACAGGAAGTAAAGGGTCAGAGTGAAAGAGGGCTCTAGTCTGGCAGAAAGTACATCTTTGTTAATACCAAGATGAAAAGAGAAGGGAGGTGGAGGGGCGAGACGATAATAGAGGAAGTTGATGCTTGACGTAAATTGCTACATGGAGAACCTGCTTCTTTTTCTCTTTTTATTTTTCTTGGTTGCTTTTAGTCTTAATAAGGCTGGGACTTTGAGATCACACATGGAATCTAGAGCTATACTTTAGGTTGGTTCTATGTATGCTGACATTCGAAGGCTCAATCAAATGACAACTGAATGCCACTGTATCTCAATACTAATGTAATCACTTTTCAGAATTGATATTAGTCAAGACATCTACAGAATTTTTTCCTTTCTTACTGTCCAAATTGAATTGTTGAAGATAAAATTTTGCAGAGTGACACTAGATGTCTCTCTCGCTCCACGGATAAATCTGCAATTAATGAGGAAAAAAAAAAGAAAGAACCTGAAGTAAAGTGAAGGAGTGAAATAAGTGTTAGACAAAGGCAGAGACCGGGGGGGAAGGAGACAGAATAAATAAAGTATTGAGTTTTTGGCTCTGGCAGCATGTAATGGGGTCAGGGAATAAGACGCCTCCAAAATTGAGTGTCTCTGTGAAGTTGTCCTGATCAGACATTTCGTGGTGGACACAAACCAGCTTGCTCTCACGGAAGCAGTTGCACACAATCAATCTTTGTGACAAGAAGCTCAAACTGTTATGCTCACACTGACAGCCAATCTTTTTTTTTTTTTGGGTGTCCACGACAAAGTGGCAGAGCGTTTGTGTCTTCACATTTGTCTTAATGTTCAAACATAGTTGCTCTTGGTCATTCTTAGTCTGCACCCCCAGCCCGTGCCAAATGTGTTTTATTGAAAGGTTTAAAACTGATATACTTGCACTGTTATATTTTCTTAAATTGCATATTTTTTCAACAGGGGATGCTGCAAAGACTTCTTCATTTTTAGTGAATTTTGCAGTTGAACTCTTCTCTCCATCTCTAACCATTTTCTTTTCAACTCCAAATTTCCTGCTTCTGTCCTTCGTTTGCAGGCCGCAGTACTACCAGTTAATAGACGAGTGCATCGCACAGATCGTACTTCACAGGAATGGAGCAGACCCTGACTTCAAATGTCGCAAGCTCAGTTTTAACATTGAACACCTGATAGGTGAGTTTTGGAAAATTTCAGAAATGACATCAACACCTTTTTGCTCTCTGCACATGTTAACTTCCAGATCATAACTAGCTATTACTATTAATGTATGGGCACTAGGTCTTTTGATAACGTCACCAACTGTTTGCGGGTCATACTATTTGATCAATTATGTTTTATAGAAATATTAAACCATATTTGGCAAAAGTGTCTGTAATATCTTAAGTGGCTTATCCATCATGAATTTCTGTAATGTCTTTTTCCTGACACATTACTTGTTCAATTTAGATGGTTTAGTCTCAGTATCACCACAAGATGGAGCCAGATAAGACTGGTGTGCCACAGGTTCTAGGAGGTCAAATGTCATAGGTCACTTGCATTAAAATGAATTTAGGATCATTCAAAACCAACAATTCCAGATTAATCCTTCTGAAGGTTTCTGTTAAATAGATAACAGGCAAACAATCCTCAGACCTACAGAATATACTAGGTATGAGTATCAAGGGGCACTTCCCTCTTTGATTGGCCATTAAAAGCTCTGCAAATTGTTTTACAAAACATAAAAGGAACCATGAGGTGTTTCCTTGTTTGCACACTTCAATCATAGTTTGAATTGACAATAAACGTCAGATTGTCAGTTTATGGCAGGTCTGGAAACGGTTGTACTCAGACTATAATCCCACAACAAATATGTGTTTTAGGAGGAGATTAAAGTAGATCACCAATGATCCATAAGGTCCATTTCTTATAACCTCTATTGAATCCAAATGTATAATGTTGACATTTTAGAGGAGAAAAAAAGGCACAGAGAAGTACATGTGGACTTGTTGTCCTTTAGTGGCAGTTGTAAATCACCGTCTCTGAGCAAACTAAACCATGGAAGAATCCAGGTGCAGGCCATGTCTCATGAGTTGGATGTTCTTTATGGCAGGTCTCCATTGCTCACGGCACAAGACTAATTGTACTGTTTCTAAATGCATCCTGACATGCGCGCAGGCTGACTGGCCTCTTTTAAGGCCAGAAGAGTTATTATTGGTGGAAAGCAGCCCAATTCTGCCCTGCATGCATTATTTAGTGTTTTTCTTTGAACTCTGAGATTCAGCATGGTTTATTTCCCCCACATTCAGTCCCCCTGAATGTTCTCCTTTCAAAGTTGTCCCATTTAGCCCAGCCACTATCCCCATCTCCAAATTATGTCTAATAATTACATAAACCTGTCAATGAAATTCACACTTAAATAACACATAACTATTATGTTCTTTCAAAGGGCAAAATGCTCATGATCATGTAGACATGCAGAATTTTGGAAAGGTTCAGCTTCAAGATTCTCTCCTCACAATCTTTGTGTTTCCCTCCATCAGTTCATTCTATTTTAGCATTTTTTCTTTTTTTTTTTCCACCTTGCACTCTTTTGTCTGTGCTATCTGCTTTGCACCCCCTTTAGGCATCATAATAAGCTGTCTTTGATCCGGTGACATTGTGGCATTCATCTTCATATTAATTAGTGCTTTCATTGCACATGCTTTCTAAGCCCCTCAGCGCTGCACCACCTGTTGACCCTGCAATTATTCTGTAAAAGTGTCCTGTTGGTCATTCTGTGTTCTTCTCACCCTTATCCTCGGCCAAACACAATAACTGATGCTGCTATGCTCCTAGACGTGTGATTAATCTTGCATAAAGGCAGATTGGTGTAGCTTCACCCCTGTCACATTGGCATACAAACAAAGCGTGCGTACGGAAGGCTTGAAAGTTAATGATATGTAGAAGCAGCGCACAACACAAAGCATCCTATTGCAATGAGATGCTGCCACAATTGCCTCGTAGATCCTGACTGTGAGTGGTGTGATAAGGGAAAAGCAGGATGACAGATGGGAAGCTTGCTCTGTGAGCGTGTGTGTGTCAGTTTTTCAATTTATGCGAATGCACACAGTCAGTGCCAGCTTCAAGGGTACTATGGCTTCCGTAGCCAGGCGTGTGCAGGTGTGTTGTCAAAACCTTTATCTCATCTCACCACTGCTCCCCCACTTTCTGTTTTCCTCTCTTCTTTGTTTTTGTTTGCAGACCATATGGTTGACAAGACCAAAGTGGAGTCCAGTGAGGCGAAAGCTACTGAGTTGGAAAAGAAGGTGAAATGTTCACAGATTGATTTCACTGAAAAGAATTAGCCAGTGACACATGGTGTCAGCTCTGAATCACACAAGCTATTGAGGTGATATAGACTTAAATATAAATCAATCCCTGGAAATGACGGTATTCTACCAAAAACCCACACTACATTAAAATCACATATATATGCTTTTTATGTACAGCACTTTGGCAACCTTGGTTATTTTAAATGTGCTATATAAATAAAGTTGACTTGACTTGACTTGACTTGACACACATATGTATTGTCGTAAAATTGTGATTAAGCATTGTCCGACCGACACTGGATGACAAATTGGTAAAAGAGGGAATCGAGGGATGACTAGAAATTAAGCATACACACATGTGAGTGCCACCAGACGGACAAGTACTGGAACAAACACACAAGCGTATTCACACAAGGGGGTAAATGCCTTGATTGTGGTGTGCTGCCAGCCTGGTGTTTCTATCCCAGTGACAGGATAATTGCAAAAAGCAAACTAAAACTAGCCTTCATTCATGCGCACACGAAAACACACTGCCTCATGTGGCATCATATCCTCTGATTGCACACACTTCTACACGGCCACCCGCTCCTTGAGGACATTTGGATTCATTTTCACTGACCACAGACATCATATTGCTAGTTGCGCATGAAGGGGTAATTGCTAGCAGTCCCTTTTCGCAGGAATTAGGGATAAAGCTGTCAAGCCTCTGACAGCGAGAGTAACGGATCTGCTTTCTGCAAATTAAACAGCTGTCTAGATGTGTGTGTTCATGTGTTTTAAATACAGTGATCCTTCTCAACAAGTTTTCTTGGATACACTTTGGAACCACTGAGAAAAATATATTTCTCTTTTGTAATTTAATATAGAATTATTTATCTCATACAAATGCATCAAAACATCTTTATGCAGTAATTGACATTCATGTTCATGCTCTAAAATGGAAAGGGGTAGATGAATGGCCTCAACAGGTCTTTGAGGTATGTTGCCAGCACACTTTGATTCACTGTAGAAATCTGTTTTCAATTGGTCATCCTTTGTTGAATCATTTGTAACATTTTATGAGCTTTGAAGATGTGACCTTATAACACTAAACAATAATCATGTGGTGTGGCCCCTTTATCTCAACATACTTTTTTTTGTCTTTAAATGTTGATTTCGATAGCGAGCCAGTCCATTTTTCAGTCTATTACATTGCACTGTCATATAGTTTTATTTTATTTTATTTTTTTATAGATATCTCTGAAACAGCATTTGTCTTAAACATAGCAGGAAAACTACTCTGAATGCCAATGTTTTTTTTAGATATTAGTCAGAAAAATGAGACAGCTGCCGAATGAGCAACCCATCTGTGTTTTAAAGATAATGAAGCCAAAATCGATATCTAACCATGACCCCATTAATATGTATCAGCTGGATGCCGAGTTGACGTCGCGCCACGAGTTGCAGGTGGAGCTGAAGAAACTGGAGGGGGATTATGAACAGAAGGTGCAGGACCTGAGCCGAGAAAAGGAACAGCTGGCCACGTCCAAGCAGGAGCAAGAAAAGGAAAACCAGGGACTGCAACAACAGCTTAGTGCCTTACAAAACCAGGTACACGCAAATAGATGAACAGATACACACACACACCTTCCAGTCCATCTTTTTACTTCAAAGTGTTTTTATTGTGCAGCATCAAACCAAAAGTGACAACTTCTCTCTGAAACTTGAAAGTTTTCAGACTTAGAATTGACTTGAACTCGGTGTCACCACTTTAAGAAATCTTTGTGGCGAATTGACCAACTCAAACAAGCTTATTTCAGTATTCCTTCATTATTTCATTATTTCACGGCATCATCAATATAAAAGAACCAACACATTTGGACATAATCAATACAGACTGCATTGGGTAATTGAATCATTGTTGTTTAATATCCTGAAAAACAAACACACACAAAATTGCTTCCATTTCTAAAGCTCTAAGAGGGAAAATATTTCAAGGCTTAAGCAAATGCAGCATAGCAAGGCAAAGAACCATCAAGTTATTCAACATCAAGGAGTACCCTCATAAAGACAGAAGCCCACTGGCCTTGAATGATTTAGCCAACTGCTAGAATGGCGTGTAAAGAGGGAAATGAAGTAGATGCCAAATCCTGTAGAGATTAGGAATCTCAGTAAATAATGGAAAGTGGAAGTGGCTAAAGAAAGGGAATGATGGAGACATATTTTTAAGGCCAACAAACACTTGCACCGTGTGTGTGTTTGTGTGTGTGTACACTGGTATAGTTTGGAGGCAAAGATGAGGATTGTTTAGCTGTCGGTGTCCTGCTGCCACACCAGCTGGACTCTGCCTCACAGTGACACCAAACACACAAACCCTCCAAGTGACCCAGAACAGTCCATCTCTGTGAATGTGTGCTCATAACCTCATAAAGATGTTTCTGTGTGTGTCTGTCAGCTGGAGACTTTCACAAATGAGCTTCATCCAATGCGGCCAGTGCCAGCAGAGGCGTCCTCTCACCACACAAAAGCCCTAAACAAACGCGCGCACACACACATTTGTCCAGAGCATCAACAACATCACGAGCCAAGCATCAAACAAACTTCTCACACTAGGATGGCTCACTTTTTCTGTGTTTGAGGCCCTGCCCATCGAAGATTTCTTCTCATGTAGAGATCTCTGGGTCCCTGTGTATGATGCCGTGCCCAATTCTCTTTCTGCTGCCTCAATAAGAAAGCCTGCCTCAGAGGCTCTGTTGCCCGTTAGTCTTTTCTTTTTAAAGTCTACAGGAATTACTCAAACTGCTCCTTTCACGCACTACATGCAACAAATGTGCTACAAAAATGCCACATTTTTATTGATATACATGAAAATATGATTGTATATAATCATTATATTTTTATTCTGGCTCCTCTCTTGTTAGTTGACTGAATTTGTTGTAACTTTAATGATGGACAGTTTTCTCAAGCTGTAGTCTTTTGATGTAAATGCTGTAATCAGTATGTCAGTGTGGAAATGAAAAATTTATTTCAGTCTCACTTCTAATTTAAGTCCGTCCTCCTCTTTAAAAGTTTTCTTTTAAATTCCTCTATGGACTTAATTCCCTCCTGTTATTACTTTTTCTCTCAGCGCCTTGCTCGTATTCTCTCTCTCCATCTCCTCCAAAGCTCCATCTTTCCCAGACTCTAATCACTTTTTCTCCCCTTTTGTTCATTCTTTATTCTGTTGGCATCTATATTCAGAGGAAATTAGTTTGGCCAAGTCAATACAAAATTAATGCTAATTGAAAGAATGCTCTGTACAGTTAGGACGTGTTGACATGTGGAAATGAGCAGGGGTGTTGTAGCTCGATATTTTTGATGGAATTCCGTTTCCCTGCAGGTTGAGAAGCTGTCCAAGGATCTGGAAGATGCCAAAACTAAGGTTATTACAGTTACGGTTCCTGTGCCTACACCTGGCTTACCCCCTCAACCACCTGGCCAGACTGCAGGCATGCCTCCTCCACCTCCACCCCCTCCTTTACCAGGACAGGCCGCTTTACCTGTTGGCCTTGTCCCACCCCCTCCTCCATTACCCGGTCAAGCTTGCGTATTTCCTCCAGCTGGCATGCCAGGACCTCCACCACCCCCACCCCTGCCTGGCATGCCAGGTCCTCCACCACCACCGCCCCTGCCTGGCATGCCAGGACCTCCACCACCTCCTCCACTTCCTGGCATGTCAGGGCCACCACCGCCTCCACCCTTACCAGGTATGGGACCTCCACCACCGCCACCTCCACCTGGGGGTCCAGGTGTTCCTCCTCCGCCACCAGGGTCAGGAATGCCACCCCCTCCACCATTCGGTATGGGTGGCTGGGCGGCCCCTGCACCACCTCCTCTACCTTTTGGGCTCCAACCTAAGAAGGAGTACAAGCCTGAGGTCCAACTGAAGAGGGCAAACTGGAGTAAGGTGAGTTTGGTTGGCCAGTTTTTTCTTGTGTTAATCTGATGGTAAAATACTTCAAACTGTTCAAATTTTGGCTTCTTTTGCAAGTCATTAATTTGTTTATAATGTTTTTGAATCTGTGGGTAAATCATTTTGGTTAATGGTAGGTACCTCCTGCTACAGGTGTTTGGCAGAATAAGATCTAATGAAGTACCAAATCTGAGGCTTTCCTTATCACAGAGTCAGATATTATGCAAACACTTAATTTGAGTGTCCTGTGGTGTTTATAAGGTTGTATAAAAACCCCAAGGTGTGCTTTTGAAGGTATGAAAGAAATGCAAACTGGAGCTTTGACATGGAGATTTTGACCCAAAGTGGATTGAATGCATACAAGTATCCCATGCCTGTGTGCTTCGTGTTCTTCTCCTCCCTCTCATCTGTGATGGTTAAAACATCAAAACATCCCTCTGTCTTTCTTTAGCCTAAAGCTACCAGTTAATGGCTGAAGCAGACTTCATCAGCATTTAGCCTCTCTCTTTCTCACTCCCTCTTTGTTGGGCTGGTGCGAGGGTTTGACGAGGATGTCACAGAAATTGCGTTTTAATAAGCCTTCTTCTTTTAACTGCACCACTGAAAGATAATTAAATTGCTGCTAGAAAGGATGGTTTTCTTTTGTAATTTAAATTAACTTTTTTTCCCCCTGACTTGGTCTCATCCTTTTGCATGCTCTCTTGCTTTCTTTTTTGCTCCTTCAGCTCATTCCCATATCACATTTCCTTTCCGTACTCTCTGTCTATTCTGTCCTACACCCATCCCTGAGGCTTTGTCCATAATGAAAGGCCTGATATCTCTAAATTTACTACCACTACTTTCTCATTTGCTCTGGTTTTCCTTTCCTCTCGTTTTCTTTCCCTCTTGATAAGAACATTCAGAAAGTGAAAAAAAGTGCAAAGTTAATTGTGACTTGTTTGAGAGCATACAAATAAGGGTGGAAAAAATGTGGGGAAGAAAAAAGAGGATCCTATTTTACAGTGTCAAACTCTTGTGTCTCGTGTCCCTTTCTAGTGAAGACAGCGCGCAGCAATTAGAGGAAGCGACTCTGTGCCTTCTCCTCTGGCTTTCCTCTTTGTGCTTTCCATCATCCTCTTCCCCCCTTTGCACCATCATTCTACTTGCCAACTCCTTTTGTTCTGCTGAATTCTTTATCTTCTTGTCTCATTGTTTGGCAGCTGCATGGACAACCATTTTTGGAAAGAATTGAGTCAGTTTTATGAAACAATTACCTAACAGATGGCATTCATTTCAATTTAGTTTATTTTGTCCCTTCGTTCCCTCCACTCTCTGTACACACTAACCTTTCTTTGCCTTAGATTGGACCAGAAGACCTCTCTGAGAACAGTTTTTGGGTCAAGTCCAGTGAAGAGAAATTTGAAAACAATGAACTGTTTGCCAAACTCACCCTAACCTTTTCCTCACAGACCAAGTGTGAGTATGTGGATTGTGTATTTTTAAGTCACTGTTATCACTTAACATTTCACACAGTATTGAAAGTGTGTGTTTTTTTGTTGCTTTATTTGGCCTTTCCCCACATCCCTCGTCTCTGTCCTGGATGACTTTCAACTTTTTGCTGAATCCACCAGCCTCTAAAGGTAAGAACGTCCCACATCTGTTTATTTATCATAGTTTTTTCTTCAACCGTATTTTGTTCAGCCTCTTTAGAGCTTCTCTTCTGCTTCTCCTTGGAGGACACACTCCAGATTTACATTATTCAGAAATGTTGTGTCAAAACAACCTGTCTTTAGAGTTCATGAATTATCCACTCACACCTGGTCGCTCATACTTTCAATGTGCTCAGGACCTGTGCAGAGACTGAGCTCTTGGCACCAGGTGAGGAGACAAAAAGAGGAGTATATTGAATTGGATAAGGAGAAGGTCACTGATGTCCTTTGACTAGCCACCTGCTGTCCTATCACAAAGCGCTGACACACGGGTGGACACGCACAGACACACACACCTGTCCACCCCGTCACCTTGTCCCAGTGCCACAGAGCCTTCTGCTCCGACTCTTCCATATTCAAAAACTAACCAGGACACCAGGAACTCGGAGTGTGTGTGGGTGTGTATGCGATTTCATCTGACCTTCAGTTTCAGTCACATTATGCATTACACACACAGAGACGCACATGCACATGCACACGCACGTGGCTGTGTGGGTCATATACATAAACAGGAGCGTGCATGCACACATAGCTGATGCTGGCTCTTGATGTCAGTTAAATGTCAGGGTTGGCAGCTGTCCCATCTGCATTCACTGGTGTATCAAATCTGAACATCCACCTGCCACTTCTTGATTTGACCCTCCTCCGCTCCCTTTGGCCCCTGTACTCATGCCTCCTCTTTTTATTGGCTGAGACTGCCGCCTGTTCTGGATGATGTCTAATAACCTTTTCTGAGTGCTGTGTATAAAGACACCGTGGCCTTTTCATAGCCCCACACCTGTCTGTATATCAGCCTGTGTGGATGAGGGTAGGGTGGGGTTGGCTGGTAAGGGGTGGACGGGTGGAAGTTGTTGATTTCCCCAGCGTGCTTTAAATCTGCTGGAATTTTGAAGTTGTGAATAATAGATTCTTTGGGCTTTTACTGAGCTGTTGTGTAAGCATTAGGATTTCATCTGTGTTTGTGAGTGAGCATTTGCAGTTTAATCTCCACTGTGCTCCCGTGTGAGTTTATGCTTTTGTGTCTGTGGCAGCACACGAACAGAGTCCTAATAAGCAAGTAGTTCTAGCCATGCAAATTTAACCTTTATGTTTTGCTCTCTGATCAAGGCCCGATGCATTCCCCTGAGTGCTACACCCCTCTTCTCTACTCTCACCTCTCGGGAGCTCAGTAAAATCTTCTTTACACATTGGTTTGCTTTCTGTTCATTCTAAAATCCCATTCAGTAGAAAACTGACATCACACCAGGGTGCTGATGGCCCATTTTGACCATCCCTCCACCTCTTCATCAGCTGCCAGCAGCTGGATTTTAAACCCTTACCCACACAGAAAATAGACATGCAGCAGGGCAGTGTGCCCTGTGTGATTAGAGGTGTTGTCCTCCGACCATGCAGAGAACATATGGGAAACAACCCCTCTCAGTGCAAACAGCTTTTAGTATGTATTTGGTGCTTTCGCACATAGTACCTTAAAAATCTGATTTAGTTTTTGCTCCTTGTTCTTTTAGTTATTTCTTCCTTTCAATGTTCATTTTGTGAATCTCATCGATTGCCGATTAAGACTTGATTGGTCTGCCCTTATCTGCTAATCACCCGGAGCAGCCTCTGGCGGTCACTGATTCTGTTCTGTTTGGTTCTAGTGAGATCTTAATGTCTTAAACCTCAAATAGGGAGCTTCCAAAAATGAGTTGTACTGCCTGATATACACTTGTGTGACTTTCTAATAATTTCTAAGGATTGGATCTTTCTGCTTGAATGGAGGTTTCCTGGCTGTACAGTAATTAATTTAATGGAGCAGTTAACCTCTATATTAGATTTGCATATAAAGCCTAAGATTCCGTTTCTGTTTGAAAGTTGACTTGGTTATCTGACTGATTCAGAGTCATATCTCTAGTGGCAGAGACCACTTTGGTTAGGACTGTCCTGCTGAGCATTTACCAGACTGGAAATGAAACTCAGATTCAGGACCACTTCTCAGAGTTGCATGGGCATATAGAATTATACCTGTAGACCAGGGTATTTACTGAAATGATGTTGGGTGATGGTACATTTGATGTGTAGGTTGTATTTACAATAAAAAAAATAATATATATAAGTCTCAATAAGACTTTGTTTTTGTGTAAGTTTTTAATTTGAATTTTTGTTTAGTCAATTCTGGTTATGGAAAATGTTTGGCTGAAACCCGTTTCATTTCTAAAGCTCGATTAGGAAAAAAATGAAATGATGAGCCATGTTCAAGTACTACGTAATCATTCCTTTACACGGTCTGACATGTTTTTTCCCCTTAAGGGTTTTTGTAACCAAGCAGACTCATTGTTTGGATTTGCTATGAGAATCTATAAAAGGATTAGTTTAAAAGATTTTAGGCAGTGAGCTTATCTTTACTTGCTCCTTGAAGCTATTCTTTTAATTCCTCACTTTGAAGTGTTTTATGGTTTTCCTCCATTTACTGTTTGTTTACTTTGAAATGAAAATAATTATGATGAATAATAATGGTCGATCATTTTTCAAAGGTGCTTTTATGCATTTTGGTGTTGAACATGCGCTACAAAAATTCACAGACTGTTCATCTTGCATGGTTATATACATCCCAAGCTGTCCTTTTTTAACTTAAAAACACTACGTTTGATAGCAGGTGCCTTTAGAAGTCGGCACCTCAGATAGGCCAATTAGCAAGAGCGAGAGACAGGGAGGGGAGGAAGGAGGTGGAGGTGGGTGAAATAAAAGCAAAGTGAGCATAGGGAAAGGCTGGGCTTGGGGGAGCGGTGGTGATTAATTTGATTCGGGAGAGAAAAAGGCCAGGAGCATATATAGTTATTAATCCTCATAATGGGAGAATCATTTTCATATCCCAATTCTCCAGCCTTTATACTATTCTGTCTTCTGTGTATTGCTGTGTTCCTGTGCTCTGTTATAGTATGTTGTCCTCATTTCTGTTCTTTTTTTGAGATCCTTCCAGCCTTAGATGGTTCTTTGTGATCACCACATAACCCACCTACACATGCAACAGCACACTCCTGTTTTCCATTCACTTCCTGTGATTTGAAACACAATTGTTATGGGTGAATTCATGTTTGTTGGTGCAGTGGAGCAGTCTGTGTACCGGTGTGTGTGCTTGAGAAAGCGGGTGAGTGAGCTCAACCACATTTAGAGACCAATTATAATGAGCCTCTTGATCTCCCTGTGTTCTGACAAAATCAATTTCCCTCTCTGTAGGTGTGATTGTGTTCTCTCTGGGTGTGTGTTGGTCTGTGTGAATACATATAACTATTTGGGTTTTTTTTTTTCCTCCCCTCTTAGGTCTGCTCCATTCACTTCTCACCTTAATGAGCCACCAATCAGCATGAAAGTACCCGCTGTGTATGTGTGTGTTTGCACGAATGCTTGCCTGGGGCTTCACAAGGGTTGCAGAGCAATCAGTAAAAGAGATGGGAGATGTAATATATTGGTAATATGAAACAAAGACATGGAGAGTTATGGTCTGCTGTTGATTAGGTCTTTTTTTCCCTTTGGACAAATGCACCTTGCAACATGTTTTTGTTCTAAAATACTAGTTCAAAGTCATTGTAATTCAACGAAAATTTCAATGTTGGTCATATAACTAAGGCACTCTCCTACCTTTCTGTCAGCATTACTTACAGCACTTTGATTGCTGGAGTGTTATAAAAATGTCAACACTGACTGCATGAAATATTGTCTCCTTGCATTTACCCTCTTATTAGCCAAAAGGGACTCTTCATAGACAGCATGTCAAGTAAGAATAATGTGTTTTAGTTCTCCTCTCATTCTATAGCTAATGGCTGCATAGTAATTGCTCTAAATTCGTCCGTTCTTTTTTTTTTCTTTTCTTTTAGAACTTTGACAATTTTTCTTGAAACTTACTTACAGAGAGATGTAATTGAGCCCTGATTTTGAATATAGACCTATGGTCTTAAACTGAAATGGACTACCTGGTGATACCAGAAAATAACCCCACTAATGTTAGACCAGCTTTCATTACAACATTCTTCTTGGTAAAAAAGGAAACTTGTGATGCCACATTAAGTATCACACATATTTTCAGTGAGGTGAAAAGTCTGAATCTTAACTATCATTGGGAGAACATTGAATATTGAGTGCAACAACCTTTTTTTTTATACTAGGTCATAAACATATTCATATCTGTTTTAAAGTTGAGTGATTTTAACATAAGGGTCAGTCGAAATGTGGGGCCAGACTCAGGTGGTCATTCAGGAAATGTTATTTGAACTTTTGCCATTTCTTGATTCGTTCCTGTGTTATGTCGTGGAACTAAATTTATATTGGCCTGAAAAAGCTTTTATTTAATGTGTTTGACCTTTTCTGTGATTATTATTTTTCTCTGGGTATGTATGTGTGTGTGGTTGCAGACAGTAATTTATGAAAAAAACCATGCAGTGTTCAGACTGGAACTGCAAAGAGAGAAGCAGGTTAATGTATGGGTCACAAATGCTGCAGAGATCAGGAAGAACTATCCCCTCATGTTTTTTTTTCTGCTCTCTTGTTAATTCAACGCCTGTATATAACTCTATTACTTTTCATTCATCATAACTTTTCTTAAAGTTGTATTGTATATTTACTCAACCAGTTTTTACTGGATTTTTTTTACTATGAGTCTGTGTAAAGTTTGTCTTGTATGGCATAAATCTGCATCTCTATCACTGTTCTGCTTTACACCAAGCTTAGTGAATGTCTAGACATGCATTTCCTCTGTTGTGCTTCCAGCTCCTCAGACAGGAGCCAAATGTGTTTTCAGAACAGAGACATAATCTTCCTGATTATTGAGGCATTAAGTGTAAATAAGAAGTGGATATAGCCAACTTTGTCAGAGCCATCATAACATTACGGCGAGAGAGCTTTCATTTGAAGAACCGGGAGGCTGGTGCATAAAGGAAGGATTGTGTTTTTTCCAGAGAGGGGCAGTTAGTTGGTTGCTTAATTTGTGTCGGTCACAAACACAGGTGTAACATAACTGAAACCTATTTTTAGAAGGCTCTGCTATTGGTCCTGTGAGTCCATGTCGTCCTCAGCCAGTTTGCAAAGTCAAGTTACTAAGGGGTCTAGAAGATGCAAATCCATCACAAGCCACAGAACATGTTTTATAACCACTGTGAGACTACATGAGACCAATGTCTTTACCGTATTGGAAGTATAGGATGATATGAGCTATTGCATCCTTCAGTGATTGTCCCAGATTTTGTGACAAAATGTTGGTTTCATCATCACCACCATAGACTTGCCATAACTTAACAAACCCTAGTATACGTGAAATGCATCACTTAAGGCCCCCCAAACGTGAGGTGAGCGAACCACTATCCTACCGCGAACTGTGACCTCACACTTGGTGGCGCAGACTCTCCAAATTTCAACTCTGCACACTGTGCAATGGAATCAGAAGTCTGATGGAAAGGTTTGCACAGCTAAGGATTGTTTTCCCCTCGATTCTGCCCTGTTCATCAGACACTTCACGCATAGCTGTCATTTGAAAACCCTTTTTTGAAATGCTGCTTACAGAAAGCAGCTCTATGCTATACGTATAATGAATATGAGCTAGGTTTTTAATAAGTAGGTATGGCATGCAAATGAGAGATTTGATGTTTTTAGGATTTGTTTGGTATTGTGTTTTTCTGTGTATATTTAAGTGTTTATGTCTACCAGTGCTTAAGTTTAAATCCGAACCATACCTCCTAAGCCCTCAACGGTAGCGGTGCATTAGGCTGGCTTTACTGGCTCTCTTAAGCCTCGTCGCATATCCTCAGTTCGGCAATAGCAAGCGTTCCCTCATTCACCATCTCTTCATGCTCGCAGAACAGCCGCAAAACACTGTTTATTCATCAGGCCTTATCAGGTTGAAACACATCTGTGTGTGCTCACATTGGCTCTCACTGCCAAGTGCAACAGCTCTCATATGCCCAGACAGAAGCATACACTTACCCATACACATGTAAGCATCCTCATACACACACACACTCTCTCATGCTTTTGTGCTACTCTTTTTCTGCATTCCATTCCTCCCTTCATCTCTCCCTTGTTACATTTCTTTCCTCTTTCCTCACTGTTTTACATGCAAATGAGCTAAGTGTGTTCATGCTGAAGCATTACCGCTGTGTGTGCCTAATCTCCCTGCTGCCTATTCTCCTTCCTAAAGATTATCCTGTTTTTAGATGGAATAGGCCCTCTTTGCTTCACTCGGCTTCACTCCCGACCAGCCAGTTAGATAGCCAGCCACCCAATCTCTCATCCCAAAACTATTAGTTAAAAATTTCCTAGTTATGTGACACCAAAGCCGGAGCTGAGGGGAACCAGTGTGTGTGTGTGTGTGTTGGTGTGTGTCTGTGTTGTTTTTTTCTTTAAAATAACTGTGCTTGTTTTGTAATCGTTGTGTGTGTGTGGTTTAATGAGGGTTGGGTTGATGAGTTCAGAAGCTTGTTACAGATGCTAAGTACCCCCGTGTTTATGATTCCCTCTCTTTTCAGCCAGGATGAAAGTAAAAAAAAACAAAAAAAACATGCCAAAATGGAAGAGGTGGTTATGAAGGCATATGTATGCACACCTACAGTCCTTCCACCCACTCATGTCTCTTGTTTTCTCCTCTTGGTCACAGCAGTATGTTCTTATTCTCTCCTCCCCCTCTTCTTTTCTTATATAGTTAGTCTTTAGTATGAGTGCACCTTTGTGTACTTACATCCCCAGTGTCAGGAGGGTAAAGGTGCTTTGATTTATATTCTGATTACAAAAGAAACAAGCCATTATTATGCCATTTCTATTATTAGAAAGCATGGTTATCATAAGAAAAGCAGAGATGGAAGACCACAGTGAGGAAATAGGAGATTGTAGTGTAGTCTCTGATAAACAGGAACTCCATCTCTGTTAACTTTATTTACAGTATTAGCGACCTATACCTTAGGGCAGACACATGCACAAAGACACACGCTAGAGACTTAACCCACTTTGATGCCACTGATAACATGAGTTAAAAAAAACAAAAACAAAAGGGTGTAAAGAGCAACAGCTTCAAAGATGGAGGAAAGATATTCGCAACATCTCTCTCCAACCCCCCCTTTACTCTCCTGATTTCTTCATTTCTACTCTCCTATCTGTGCTTGATGAAGAGGTTCATATAAAATTAAATAATAAATGAGGGTTGAAAATAGAAAAACTGGTCCTGCTTTTGAACAGGGTAAACCAAATTGTACATTGGGAAGAAACAGGAAGATGGATAGCAACAATGGAGGAATGTGAAAATGTCCTGAAAAAATCTAATTTTCACAGCTCAGTCCAATTGTTTAACAGTAGCCTTAAGGCTTCCACTGACTTGATGTTGGCTATGTAGTGAATTATTGGGGTGCTACAAAGCTATTAGACTGTTGTGCTAATGGCTCAGACCATGTCCACAGGGTTCTCGCGCAGCCACACTTATTAAAACTATTAATTTCTCCCACATTGTGCACACACTAAGGTACAGATTTTCTTATTTATTTATGGATACATGTGTATGCAGTCTGTGCCTCACCAGGTTGGATGTGAGCTCTGGGTATTTTGTAAGCTTTTCGAGCCACATCTGCAGGTGAAACATGCCCCCTGGTCTTTGGCAGTGTGTAAAATGGATAACCCAGTGGCATTTACACCAGACACCAATGGTATTTACAAGACTCAGTGGGCCAGACCACGCTCTACTTTCTGACTTTAATTTGCTGCCAGTAATCATGTGACATTGTATGCAGACCAAGATGTATGCATTTATTGTGAGGAGATTATGTAGTATTTTTAATCTAAGAAATTGACCTGTATGCATGGTTTGTGTGTACGTTTCTCCGAACCATAGCTGCTTCTTTTTGTATGTGTATTTGCATGATGTAGCTCTGGCTCCATTGCACAGGATCTGCATTTGTCATGTTCTGTGAAACGTGGGTTCTGCTTTGCCTGGGGGGGCACCTTAATTTTTCACCATGCAGTGTGCTACACAACACTGTACAGCATGAAAATGTACATCTACATCCTGTCCTTCTCTCACTTCTTCTACATCTCTATTCATCTAGCTCCCCGTCCTTGTACTCCCCCCACTATAACCAGCACCCCACCCACACAGTCATCATCACACACACACACACGCGCCTAATCAGCACAAGGAGCTCTCCAGATTAGCACTTGAGAAAACTCCCCAAAGACATTCCCTCATTTTGACCATTTTCAGGTACACACTTTCCTTCGCCTCGTCCACCTTCTCCTTCCTGGCTTTGAATTTTTAACTTCCCCAATGAATTAGAGATGCAGCTATCCTCATGGGGAAAAGAAAGTTGGAGGGAGGGCAAGGATTGAAAGAAAGAAGGCGGGGGAGGCAGAAGGGAAATGGTTGTCCCTAAACAGGCTTTCACATTTATCCCCTAAAAACTCTACTCTGTATGCTCAATAATGCATGGCCATCTCTCATTCCCTATTCCTTTCCCCCTCCTCTCATCCCCAGTTCCTTCATCTCCTTCATCTTCCTCTCACTGGTTCCCCAAGCGCTCATCACTCCACCCAGCAGATTAACTACAGGGTGAAACTGAGACTGGCAAATCAGGGTGATGGTAGCGGGGCATTGGAGACTAACAGTAAAAGAGAGTGTGAGAGAAAAGGCAGATGAGTCACTTGTCATTGTCTGAAAAGAGTTACTACTTAATATATTGATCTGAGAGAGCGGGCTTTGAAGTTTCACCGTTTCAGATGGGCTGTAAAGCTTGACTGGGCTTCAGAATTGGAGTCAGAATTTATCTGAAACCTCTAAAATTCTCGGCTTGAACAAAGTCTGAGTAGTGCCTAAAACCCCATTAAATGTTTTAGTAATTTCCCAGCTTGTTTTTTATTCTCAGCGATGGAGCCTTTCTTCCTGAACCCGAATCAGCCCATCTCTTTGGGAGCATGAAAATATCCTTTAAATGCAGTCAAGGCAAAAAGTAATCCCAAGGAGGCCTTGAAGGGGTAAATCTCATCTGAGCTTATGTTTCAAGCAATAACAAATGACAGCCACGGTGTGTATAACTAATGTGAGTCACATGTTTAGCATTTGTACCGTGTTGTCTTTGTTCTGACTGTGCCTTACTCAGACCTTACTCTGCCAGAGCTGTTGTGCAGGCAGACCCATTCCGGACGTGATGTGCATGCATGTTGCATCAGCAGCAACTCGTGTCTGTTTGGGTTTACCGGAGCGGTACACTGGAAAGTTTTTAGACTTCTCATAGAAACGACCATTACTGGAGAAACAAAAAAATGAAACTTGTAAAATAAAGAACAAATGGGTCTTGGTATAGAAAAAGGTCTCCTGTGAACTTTAACCAAAGGGGGGACTTGTTGGTATAGTGTCAACAGCTCTAAAACAAACAGACGGGCAGCTTTCCTTTTTTCCATAAAGAAGGGATTTGTTCAGCAGTTGTAGCAACACTTTGGCTTTTAGGTAAAAGGGTTGATACTTATTTGTTGGCTCAGATAAAAAATGTGTTGCTTCTGGGGGAAAGTGCTGGATTAATCACAAGCATGCTCCTTTATTGAAGCTGGTAATCAGAACCAAACTTGAAAGCCACAGTCTTGTTTCTTTAAAGAAGACAAGAAAAGGCCAACAAAAACCTACATTGGCTGCTAATGGTAATGGATTCACAAATGCATTTGTAAAGTCAGGATATCAGTGTTTATCCATGGAAAGGTTTAATGTTAAAGCCTTATTCATATACAGGATTGATTGAATGTGCACAGTTTCAATGTGACATTTAGAACTGCCAGACACGATTGAAAAAGTGAGGTTTTGGTCATACAGATGGATGGAGGATAATCTTGGTTTTATGGATGAGAAGATGGATGGCGTTATTGAAGGTGGAATGAAGGAGAAAAGCTCAGAATGAATGAGTCCCTGAGAGGGACGAATGAAGGCAGGAGTAATCTGTATACGACTGAAAAGAGCACAGAGGAAGGGAATGACAGATGATCAAAAAGTGAAGAGATGTGAAGCATCCACAGTGATTAAAGAGAAAGGTATGATGTGAAGGTAAAGAGAGGAAACTGAGCTAAGTTAGCTGTGGGAGCATGGGTGTGAGGAAAGGTGAAATAAGGGCGCTTGATGGAATGTTCAGGTATTCGGCTTGGCCATAATGACTTATTGCTCCCCGGCAGCTGAAATAGTTGATTGTAGCTCTGAGTTCTATTCTGACAAGATGACACTGCTGCTCTTAACAAAAGCCCCCATAAATGTCTGTGCCCCTCTGCTCTTTCTGTGTGAGCAAACAGGTTGCATGGATGAAGGCGCATCTCTGCCTTTTAATCTCCCCGCCATACTTTACTTTTTGTCTGTCTGTTCTCCTCTCTGTGGGATGAAATGTCATATTTTTACGCTGCCCTCCTATTGGTATTTGTATTGTTTTGGTGTCACCTTTCTCTGCTCTGCAAACATGTTATTTCAGGATTTGTACTTAATTGTTGACAGTTAGCGGTCAGTCAGCACACCACATACACACACACACACATTGCCAAGGGACCTCCTTAGAGGTTGTCTGGTTAATACTTCATAGCACTTAGAGGCATGAACATGCCCTGTAGTGTTCCAGCGGAGCGTAGAGTGCAAGAAAGCATGCTAATCCCCCAGCCTAACCACTACCAACCACACACTTCTCTGTTTGTGACCCCTTTCCCCTCCATCCATCCAACTACTTCAACTTTCTGTCTCCCCAAATATTCTCTGTTGCCTGCATGGTTTTTTGAGTGGACACAGCATCTTAGCATTGGATTGATTTATACTGTGATATCATTTCAAACACAAAACATCAAATAGGAAAAAAAAAAAAAGAATAATGAAATTAAAAGAAAAAGATGACTGTTCTGCTTACTGGGAGATGACGGTTGACAAATAACCTCAGGAGTTTTCATTTCCTGGTCAAGCAAAGGTCAAATAGGATTATGATTATGGGAATAGTTTTATTTTACTGACGTAGCCCTTCACAATGAAATGGCTAAAAATTTCGGAAAATATATTGAGAATTTTCATCAACCTCGTAACTGCAGTCTTCAGAGAGGCACAGCTTATCTCAATATGGCATGGTTTAAAAGAGGAAATAAAGGATATTTATTGGAAACATTGATTGTTTTCTGTTAAAGTCCGTGTGGGGGACTGTAGGGTGTGTGGAAACAGGATTGTCATTTATGGACACATCCAGAAATAATGACAATTTTTTAGGTTTAAAGAAAAAAATGTCAAGGCAAATTCTAGTATAATTCAATTTAACTAAGCAGTATTTATGGGGTGCACTGTTATGTTCTGCTGCTGCCTCTACTTCTTCATCCTGGATATTCAAAGGAGAAGTGCATTTTTAATTTTTCAGTATTTCTTGTTCTAACATATATTTATGTGTTTCTAAAAATACTTAATAGAAATGTGGAGTGCACAAAATTAAAGTTATTTGTCTATAAAAGCCTATTTTTGAGCTGATCTACAAAGAACAGGAGGATATTATTTGAATCCATTATTATTATTTCAGACTGCAGTGTAATGCAGAACCCATCACACGGGGACAGCTTTGTGTCAGCTTTTGAAACCAAATCTGCTCGTCTGGGGACAGTGTCTGTTAGAGGTACACACTCCTCTGTGTGTCCTCACTTAAGAAGTGTAAAGTAATGCCTCAAGTTCGTGACACTCACCACAGTAATTTGTAGGCATTTTTAAAACCTGTGATGGAGAGACTGGAATTTCTGTGCATGTTCCCTGGTGCATGTGAGACGTATCCTGCGCACGGGGGAAGAGGTATAAGTGAATGTGGATGTGTGCATTTTCGTCATAGGGGACCACAGTACTCTCAGCTTCATTTCCCAGCATGAAACTGTCCTCATGTAACTGAGGACAGGCCAGTCCTGTGAGACCCGGAGCTGAAAAACTGCAAAGTGACATTACACACACACAGATATACAAGCGTGCGTGCGCACACACAGATACACGGACGTGCGTGCAGTTGTCAGGGCAAAGAGTGGAATCCTGGTCTTGTCATGCTCTGTGCCATAATCCAGTTTAGAGGGATTAATTAGGATTTAAGGAGTGTAATGTTATCAGTGCGTGATCCATTCCCAGGCTTGCACACTTGTTCATAAACGCATATTTTGCACTGTTTGAGTGGATATGTAGGCCACAGATTATTCAAAACTACGAAAGAAAACTTTTTAACTTTATTACTTTCTCATTCATTTTTCCTCTTTACATTCTCATTCCTCTCAATTTATTATCCTCCTCGCTGCATATTACCCTCCTCTGCCCTTAGCCATCCTCACACTTCTTTTTGCTCCCTTTAAATTCCTTTCACTTTGTACGTGAACACCCATAAAATAACTTTTTCACTCCTCTCTTCACCCTTTGCCTCCAGCTCCTCTCTTCTGTGTTCTGTGCCACCATTATCTGGTCTTTAAAGGTCTCGTGTAGGCTTTCTTTCATTGCTTTCATCCTTCCAGCCAGGCTTTGTCTAAAAGAAAGATGAGAGATTTCTATAGCTCAGCTGCTCTTTCAAGAAGGCTCCAGCATTGAGGTGTGCCTCTCTGGATGTCCATTTTACATCTGGCTTCCCGTTTGTCATAGTCCTCCTATCTTCACTTGTGAACAGTGTGTCTGGGGAGGCGCAGTACTTACAGTTGTTTTACTCAAGTCTCTGCCTCAGTTGCACCAAGTAGCTCTGCTTTTAGAGCCGAGTGGAGCAGCTTACCTTTGTCCTTGAGAAAAGGCTTTCTTTCCGCGTCTTCCAGTCGTACCATTTCTCATTTGTGGATGAACAGTTTGTGTATTTGTATGCAGATGCTCTTTGGGATTAATCTCACACAGTAACTTGGAAGATGGATTCATAGATAAAAGGCAATAAAAACAATAGTGGGGTGGCTGAGGAGGAGGGAGACCAAAACAGTAAGACTACGATATGAGCAATGTCATTGTTTATGTCTGCTTGAGTGTTTCCTGGGCTGTAATTTGCTGTGCGAGCCTCCCTGCCAGAGCTTTTGAGGTGTGTTGATACCTCCTTAGGCAGACAGTAATGACATTGCTTTTATTAATGGCTGATTACATTTTTAGCACACAATGTGCCGCTATCAGTCATCAATCCTCTCAACTTACAAACACAAAATTGTGCCTCTCATTTGAGAAGAAACACCCCACTGTTGGTGAAAGAGAAGGTGTCAGTCATCCTGTTGCCACTGTATCACCACTGTCCATTTCACCCTTATTTTCATGCCTGAGAGTTACGCTCTCTTTGTCTCTCTCCTCTACCTGTCTCCCCCCTTTTTCTTTCTGACTGTCTGCCACCTTCCTCCTCACATGTTCCCTCCGGCGCTATTGGCAGCACTCTGTCTCTGTCAGGTGCATGTGAGATAGCCTTCACGCCAATGCCCCGGTGGAGATGGGCTTTTGGATATCACAACCTCTATTCAACTGGTTCTTTAACTCTTCCCTCACTAGGAAGCAGATAATCATTTGTTCCAGCTAATCTGTGGGTCTGATTGAAGGTTGGTTGACACCAGATTGCACTGTGTGCCCTGCAACCTC